TCCTTCACTCCTTCCACTTTTTCCTTTTCAGTTTTCCATGACTGTTTTCCTCTACAGGTATTTTGGGTTTCTTCCTTGTTTTCGTGTTTGACCTTCCGTTCTGCTTCACAGCTCATGGTGTTAAACACAATCCCCATGTGCTCATCTCAGTACGAGCGTATGTTCAACACCAGTCGAGTTCCCGGTGTAGAAACAGGTAGAGCTTCCCTCTCGCCTGCTTCACTTCGCAACCAATCCGCTTTTAGATGCTAGCGAGCGACTGCTGTGGGCCTGAACTGCATGAGGGTTTGTGATTTGGATTGGCTGGTGTTTCTGGAGGAAGCAGACAACGAGGAATTACTTTTGTGTGCTTAACTGATTCTTAACTTGATAACCTATTTGTGTGATTTAATGTTTAACCTGTTATCTGAAACAGGATGAATGGGGAACAGGAAATAGCATGTTTTTACACCCGTCTGGCCATATAGTGGTGCCAGTCAAAGATGACTGTTGTTTTTATTGCTACTAATTTATAACATACTGTAATAAATTCAAGAGGTTTTAAACGCGGAATTAATTCCAGTTTAGTAGCTAATAAGTATACTTTACTCAATGACTTAGAGTAAAGATTTATGAAGATTTATATAATATAATAGCGTAATAATGATAATGTGCTGTCACAGCAAAGTGGAAATATGTGGAATTGAGTTACTAATTCTTACTAAATGATAGTAAAATAAATTAGTATTGAATTAAAATATAGATAAATATAATTTAGAATAACTTAACTCGTTTAGAGTGCGTAAATATTAATGCAAAAATCAAAAAGCAATAAATAATAGTCATCAATATAATAATAATAATAATGATAATGATGATCTATTACATGATGATGATAACGATGATTAATATTGAACTGTAATTTAGAGTGCATGTATACTATTAATGCAGAAAACCAAAAACAATAAAATACATATAATATTCAATAATAATATGTAATCAACACACTTAATCAGTAATAATAGTAACAATAACAACAACAACACTAATAATAATAATAATTTTACTAATGATAATCATTCTAATCATTATTGTATAATTTTATACTAGAACTAATTATATTATTATTATTAATACCAATAATAATAATAATAAACTATAGTTTAAGATGCATGTGTACTATTAATGCAAAAAAAGAATAACAATATAATAATAATAATATGTTTATAAATGATGATGATGATGACGATTATTATAATAAATGTTGAACTATAATTTAGAGTGCATGTACAATCAATAATAATATATAATTAACACGCTTAATCAGTAATGATGATGATGATAATAATAATAATAATAATTTTCTATTATATATGATAATCATTCAAATAATTTAAAAACATAATACTGTAACAATCAATAATAATATTATATAATCAAAGCACTTAATTAATAATAATAATAATAATAATCATAATATAGTAACATATGTAGTTATATATGTGTTATATATATATATATATAATAGTATATTTGAATCATGTTGCAGGCAGACAATTTCCTGCATAAATAATTGTATTTATATTAATATTTAATGTTAATTCGTTTAATTATTTGGTTAATAGTAATAAGTGTATGTTTCACGTATTTATAATGTGTTTATGCAAATCCAGTGCAGAAAAACAAGCCTTTGTTTGGCCTTTCTTCTCATCATCTACTTTGTCTTTCTCATCTCACCTTTTGCTTTACTCGTCATTGTCTACTGACCACCATTAATCATTTAACCTTTCACAAATACAGCCTAAATATGACACATTTTGCCTAATTTAACTGTACAAATAATTGTTAAGTTATTTGAAATGATTGTTGTCATGCACATTGACACATCTCCATCCTCACGTCCGTATTCTTCATCAGACGTCCTTCAGCACATGAACGAGAGCAAACACATCGCCGTGTATCACAAGGGACTCTTTTACAAAGTGTGGATGTTTTATGACGGACGGCTGCTGTTGCCTCGAGAAATTGAGCAGCAGATCGAAAGGATCTTGGCCGACAAGTCTGAACCTCAGCCAGGAGAGGAGCTGCTGGCCGCGTTAACAGCGGGTGACAGGCAAGTTATTTTATTTATTTTAAATAGTTTATTTTTATTTGTTATTATTTGTAATACTTATTTTTAAATTAAATTATTTTTTTATTTAATTTTTGAAATAATTTAAAAAATATTTGGTAATTAATAATGCAAAATTATATTGTAAAATAGTAATAATAAAAAAATATATTTTAAATATCATAGTCAATGAGATTTCTTTTAACTGTGGACTTGAGCTGGAAACATTCTGTGTCTGTGAAATCTACAAATTGCAGCTTTCATTCATGAACCAGACGTTGTTTCTTCTCTTTCTGTTCACTAAAATGTGATCAAAGCCCATTAAAGAACAAGCGTTGATCCAGGTGATTTTATCTCTGCTTTTGTTCCTCATTACCCAGAGTTCCCTGGGCCAAAGCCCGCTCACAGTTCTTCAGTCGAGGGAAGAACAAGCAGTCTCTGGATGCCGTGGAGAAGGCGGCTTTTTTTGTTTCTCTGGATGACACCGAACAGCGTTACGATCCAGAGAATCCAGTGCAGTCGCTGGACAGCTACGGCAAATCTCTGCTCCACGGAAAATGCCATGACAGGTGACCATGACCTCGCTTGATTAGATTTAAATCCGATTATTGTGCAACTTAATATATTTCTGTTCATTTAATGTACTTTTCAAAAGTTTGGGGTCAGTAAGATTTCTTTAAAGAAATGAGTACTAGGGGTGCGCCGATCCGATATTCGGTATCGGTATCGCTCCGATACTGGCATTTTCTGCTGAATCGGGGTATCGGTCAGACGAGACCAATCCGAATCCGATATAGTGCGTATACTGTTCTGTGTTATTATTAAACCCCACAAAAGCCACAAAAACATTATAAAGCACCATAAAGTTTTCGTGCACTATATTTCAAGTGTTCTGAAGCTTTTCCATAGTTTAATGTGAGGTACAGATGAATATTTAAGTCAAGTTCACGTAAACTCTTCTCTCCGCAGCGGCTGTCTGTCATCCTCCATTCAGCATTCAAACTGTGTGTCACGTTCGGTTACGACAGTCAAGACGATGAAACTCTCTCCAAGATGATTAAATGTTCCTAATGTTATACTTGATCTGTAAATAAAGATAAATGGTTTTGCATAAAAGGAATTTATCTTGCTGGAGTTTCGTGCTGTTTCTAAATCGTGTAAATTTCTACCGGATATCTGCAGAGAGCACTATGAATTGTTCGTCACGAGCACAGTAACTGAAATTTAAAACTATTAAAAGAAAAGGCTCAATAAACTAACACACATATTTAATACACTACGCATCAATATCTCGTCACTTTGTTCTTTGAACTTCTCTATGCTGCGCGCTTTGAGCCGCTCTGTATTTGACTTTGATGAAAGGTTTTGATCCACTTCAAATGTTGACTACTATAGTATATATTTATATATAAATATATTACTTGTTTTTCATGAATGTATTTTACAACAATACAAAGAGCAATGTGTAGGCCTACCAGATTTAGCCCTACACTTATTCACTTTTATTTGTTATCCACTAAATAATGTAATTTTTTTTCACTAAAAGTTTAAGATTTTATAAAATTATTGTGCCCTCATGATTTTTCTAGAGTGACTTTTGCTACTGAATTATCCATTAACCTAGTTTATAATAGTATTTTTGTCATAGATTTTGATTATATTATTTTGTTTGGTATTTTTTCTTTATAATGAAGCTGTCTATATTTAGTAGATTGTGTGTAACATACAAAAGAGTGATGATCGACCTACACATTGAGGTATAGAAATTCTACACTCAATTAAAAAAACTGCGCTGGTATCGAATCGATATCGGTATCGGCAGATACTCAGAATTTTTGGTATCGGATCGGTATCGGTTCTGAAAAAGTGGTATCGAGCCATCCCTAATGAGTACAAACATATTCTTTAATAGTATTCATTCATTTAGCAATTAAAATTCTATTTATTTATTTGATTTAGAACTTTCTATTTATGAAAGAATCCTTCTGTTTATAAAAGAAAAAAGTCGCAAAAACTGTTTTCAACATTGATAAGAAATAAGAAATGATGCTGAAAATTCAGCTTTGCATCACAGGAATAAATTACATCTTACAATATATTTGAATAGAAAATAGCTATTTTAAATTGTAATAATATTTCACATTTTTACAGTTTTTACTGTAGTTTTCAAATAAATACAGCATTGTTAAGCAGAATAGATGTCTTTAATTAAACCTTACAGACTCCAAAATTTTGAAAGGTAGTATATGTTTTAATTTTTTTCCCTTTTTTTTTTTTTGTCTCCAGGTGGTTTGACAAGTCTTTCAATCTGATTGTGTTCAAGAACGGCACTATGGGATTGAATGCAGAGCACTCCTGGGCCGATGCGCCCGTCGTTGGCCATTTGTGGGAGGTGAATAAACCAGTTTATTGAGATATTGAGATGTATGAACTGTTTTGGCAAGAAAAAAATTTGCATCCTTTACTCACCCCTCAAAGTTGTTCCAAACCTGTATAAGTTTCTTACTTCTGTTAACACTAAAGAAGATATTCTGAAGAATGTTGGTAACCAAACAGTTGACGGTAGCCATTTACTTACATAGCATTCTTTTTTCTTCCATACTATGGAAGTCAATGGCTACCGTCAACTGTTTGGTTACCAACATTCTTCAGAATATCTTTTGTGTTCAGCAAAAGAAAGAAACTCATACTGGTTTGGAACGACATGAGGGTGAGTAATTGATGACACAATGTTCATTTTTGGGTGAACTGTACTTTTAAAGGGACGTTCACAATACTGTCACTTCTGATCAGTTTAATGCATCCTTGCTGAATAAAAGTAAAAACAAAAGTTAGTATATATCAAGTCAAGTCAAGTCACCTTTATTTATATAGCGCTTTTAACAATACAGATTGTGTCAAAGCAACTGAACAGCATTAATTAGGAAAATAGTGTGTCAATAATGCAAAATGACAATAGTAAACACTAATTTTCCAGTTAAAGACAGTTCATCATTGAATTCAGTGATGTCTTCATTCAGCTCAGTTCAGTTTAAATAGTATCTTTGCAATCATTTGCAATCAAGGTGATGTCTTCATTCAGCTCAGTTCAGTTTAAATAGTATCTTTGCAATCATTTGCAATCAAGTCAACAATATCGCTGGAAATATGTGATGTTTGTAAATGGTTCTGTTTCTATTGTGGCAGCATGTCTTGTCATCAGATCCAGTGAGACTGGGCTATACTGAGGACGGACACTGCAAAGGAAACCCCCATCCCAACCTGCCGGGACCCCAGAGACTGCAGTGGGACATCCCAGAGGAGGTCACTTCAAATGTTTTGTCCATTTTAAACATGCTTTGCTTTCATAATTTAACAAGGAGCGGCCTCTTTCCTTCACAGTGCCAGGCAGTGATCAGCAGCTCTCTGAAAGTGGCCAAAGCTCTGGCGGACGACGTGGACATGCACATCATCCCCTTCAACGACTTTGGCAAAGGCCTGATCAAGAAATGTAAGACGAGTCCCGACGGCTTCATTCAGATCGCCCTCCAGCTGGCGCACTTCAGGGTACGAGCGATTCTTCTGCAATTCTTTGGATTTTTCCTCAGGTTTCTGTGTTATATGTTCAGATTTTCCTCCCGCAGGATAAAGGCAAGTTCTGCCTGACGTACGAAGCCTCCATGACTCGTCTGTTCAGAGAGGGCCGCACTGAGACCGTGCGCTCCTGCACCACTCAGACCTGTGATTTTGTCCGTGCCATGATGAATGACAAAGCAACGGTGGGACTTAGTTTAATGGCTAGCTCGTTTCAGTGTGTTTGCTTATTCCTGATAATTCCACCATGTTTTTTTTTTTTCTTAGAGAGAAGAGAAGTTGAAGCTGTTGAAGGTGGCGGCAGAAAAGCACCAGGATTTATACAGACTGGCCATGACGGGAGATGGCATCGACCGCCATCTTTTCTGCCTCTACCTGGTGTCAAAGTACCTCGGGGAAGATTCGGCTTTTCTCAAAGAGGTGTGAGATGCGCCACAAGCTAAAATGCAATCCATTTAATAGATTTTGCTGGCTAAAAACATTGGTTGGGTTTGTTGCAGGTGTTGTCCGAGCCCTGGAGATTGTCCACCAGTCAGACTCCTCTCCAACAGCTCGACCTGTTTGATTTAAAGAGGCATCCAGAATTTGTCACCAGCGGAGGTGGTTTTGGACCTGTAAGTTCAACATTTTGTTTTGAACACTCTGTCCGTTCATGATTCAGTGAAAACTCAACTCTTGGTTTACAGTGTTGTAAAACTCTGGGGGGTGGTAAGATTCTTTTAATGTTTTTGAAAGAAGTCTCTTCTGCTCACCAAGGCTGCATTTATTGGATCAATAATACAGTAATATTGTCAAAAAGTATTACAATCTAAAGGAACTGTTTTCTATTGTGATATATTTTAAAATATAATTTATTCCTGGCTCATAAGTTTACATACCCCTTGCAGAATGTGCAAAATGTTAATAATTGAAACAATATAAAAGGGATCATGAAAATTGCATGTTATTTTTTTATTTAATACTGTCCCGAATAAGCTATTTCACATAACAGATGTTTACATATACTCCACAAGACAAAATAATAACTGAAATTATAAAAAATGAATCTTAATACTATGTGTCATTTCCTGGATGATCCACAACTGTTTTTATATTTTGGGATAGTTTTTCATGGGTCCCTGGTTGGTCCTGAACAGTTCAACTGCCTGCTGTTCTTCAGAAAAATCCTCCAGCTCCTGCACATTCTTTGGTTTTCCAACATTTTCTGCATATTTGAACCCTTTCCAACATTGACTGTATGATTTAGTGATCCATCTTTTAACACTGAGGACAACTGAGGGACTCATACACAACTATTACAGAAGGTGAAAACATTTACTGATGCTCAAGAAGGCCACACAATGCATTAAGAGACGGGGGGTGTAAACTTTTTTAATTGGATGATCAGGGTGAATTGTTCGTATTTTGTCATCTGGGAAACATGTAAGTATTTATGTAGCTTCTGAAGTCCAGTACTAAATGAAAAAAATATGATCGCGAAATACTTCCAAGGCACTCACGTGGTAAGATAAAAACCCTGGGCTTAAATCATTACAACTAGTTAAAAGTAGATCTACGCGTTTCGGCAAAACAGCCTTCTTCAGGACACACATCAATTGCTCAACAGGTATTCTTAAGCCGAGTTCACAATGCACGATTTTAGCCCGATTTTTCACTCGGCGACAGGTTTTGCGAAATCGCCGACAAATGCCCGACATCAGAGGCAAATCGGTGCTCGTTCACGCGAGTGACAATCACGCAGTGTGAATTATCAAAGACGCGATCTGAGGGAATCGCCGACACGTCGCCGACGCCCGTGAAATATTTGGCATGCTAAATATCTAGAGCTGTCGGCGATTCACAATCTCGCTGTGTGCAATGGTTTCTGACTGAAAACTACATCGGCGATGACCTACAGCCAATGAGAGACCAAGATACAGGGCAGAGGGAAGTTCGGGGAGGAGTTATAGACCAGAATATCAGTATTTTAATAGATATATATATACTTTTTTTTAAATAATTGCAGTCTTGCTTGCGAGAACTCCGGTCTGACGCACGCCTG